GGGTTAATGGCTCTAAATAATAATAATATAATAATAATAAAAATACCCCATCGACCCTTGCAATCAGTATGCAATTCATGAATGTATTTATTAGTGTGAATGGCTTATCTAATTTAATTAGTATTAGGCTAGATTATAGTTTGCATCTGTTTGGGGCTGAAATGACCTAGCTGTCACTCCCTTCAGAGTCTAACCCGTTGTTATGGAAGTGACAATCTCATGGGTATCTGGCTTAAGGGAGACACTAGTGACCCAGTAATATAATGGAAGTGAACTCCCTGATGTATAGATACTAGGGTACATTATGGAGTGATATCATCACAACATGTTTGACCAGTTGGCTTATATCTGCAATACCAAAGCATACACGCAAAGAAAAGTTTATATTTTAGTTTGGGTGAAGTGGAATGGAAGGGTGCTTTGGCTTCATATAGGAAGCATGTAGGACTTGACAATTATACATATGTCAATAGTTGAATTGTCTGATTATGAGCATTTAACGCCCAAAATCCAGATCACTGCAAAACCAGTTTATGAGTAGTATCATCTTTTTCAACTATTGAATTACTCCATCATTACCATTTTTTGTTGTTATGAACATATTTATAAATATGTTTAGCTGAACTTGCATAATTTATCCTGTGATATGTTGAGGGCTGAAATAACCTAGTCAAAAGCTGTAAGTTGGTCAATATACCCATTTTCAGGAATTTTGCCAGTGTAGGATGTAGACAATTTTTGTGAACATGGCAAGAAGCAAAAATGCATCTGACAGACCAACCTAGCAAGAATAGGCAGACAGAATGATCAATAATGACCAAATCACATAACCTTATAACATAGAACAAAAGTTATATTTTACAAGGTTATATGAACCTTTGCGATGCCAGTGAAAAAAAGAAAAAAAAGTTTGGGCATATTTCGGGTTCAAATGCATGGTCACCTGATCAGGACCTTTACTTTAGAATGATGAGCACCGTGCCCACGCCTTAACTGTTTTGGCCTCCAACACCCTTGAATTTATAATTAAAAAATGTTATACTTATTATTTTTATAAGTTGTAAATTACCCCACAATTGAAGAAAATATAATTAGAATATAACATAATTTGATATAAATATTTACATTTGTGCTTCGGAGAAACAAATGTACAGACATTTAATATACACATAAACATGATATAGTACATGATATAATTTAATATATATGGAAGTATCAGTCAATTTTCTACCTATTGTTAGGCCTTCATCAGAGTTCTATAGACAAAACAGCGTTAACATTTGTTTACAAAGTTAATTGTAATTAATTATGAGTGTCTGTTGCACCCAGATACCACTTAACAATATAAATTAATGTAAGTTGAAAGTATGATTCCCCTAGTCTTTATACTGAAATCTTTCTGAAAATATACAACCAATCTACAGCAATTGCCCTTAGTCATTTTTTTATATTAAAATTTTTGAAAATTCAAAACTTGGTAGGTTTCATTTGAAAAAAAAAAAGTTGATATTCAATTACCTGTAACTGTGATATTTTTATTAGATCCTTAGGAAAAACTATGGGTTGCCATTTAAACTTTTTTTTATAACTCTTCATTTTCAAGAAAAGTGGGTGTCACATTGAAATAGAAACCCTTTCCATTGAATGAATTTGATGAAAATGGGTACTAGGAAATCAAGGTTTTTTTGTTCCCCAAGTATTCTTGGCTTCTGGCTTATTGTATTTTCCTGGTTCTTTAGTTCAGTACAATCAGCACAATTTTTTACTTAAAAGTACTACGTCATTGACTGTCATTGCTACAATTCCTATATGTGGGTTATCTTTGTATCCAAAATTATGTCTCCATTGAGAGGTTTTCGCATTGGAAGATGAAATGGGTGTCTGTTTCTTCCTCCTCTTTGCTTAACCTACAAACAGGGTCATCACTTATATACCTCTGTTGTGTAGATGTTTTCTCAGATGCCAGTGACCAGTATATTGTCAGCTTTATTATTCTTCTGAGCCCTCTCTAACTGTAACAGTGAGTTTGCCAGTCTTGGAGAGGGCTGTTTTAACACTAGTATACCTCTAGAGTTTATCCACTTCTCCTTTATTCTCTTTTGGATCCATTCTGAGATGATGGATTCTATGCTTGTTTTTGTTATCCAAACAATAAGATCAGGGCCTACATGTAGTCTTGCAGATCCTTATCTGGGCAGTGTCTGCCTTTTCTTACCCAAAATTCCTTTGTGTCCTTACCCAAGATTATATCAGGTTGTTGGGTTTCCCAGGTTTTGATTATTTTGGATGCATTCACTGAGCAACTGTGATATCATCTTTTTACATGCTAATGCTTTAACAGCTGCTTGGCTATCGATCTTATGGTGATTTTTTTTGCCAGTGTTACCTTGTACATTTTCTAGGGCACAAACATTGATGGCATACATTTCAGCTTGAAAGATCAAGGTGTACTTCCCTAATGAGTTTGATTGCTAATGCTTGTCCAAAGAACACCCGATCTGGTTCCTCCATGTGTTTTGGAACCATCTGTATACTGTATCATTGTATCTAATTTCCTCTTGAATTCTAAACTGCTCAAAAATGAATAGCGATATTGCTAATTTTTTAGTATTTACTTTCTCTAACATTTTTACTTTATTTTTATTATAAATTGCATTAAAATTTATTAGAAATTATGTTTTTACTGAAGGAAAATTTAATTGTGATTTTAAAAAATAACAAAATAAAAGGTTTTAATTCCATAATTTTGTTTATTGGAAACAATGATTTTTTAAACAATTAATACAGTGTATAATGCCCTCTGTTAACTAAAACCTGTTAAGCATACTGTTAATAAGGTTGTCACTAATTTCATAAGGAATTTCACTCTATAGATGTTGCAATGCTGCACTTAGTTGTTGCAGGTCAACTGGCTGCAGTTGGTGATAGAAAAACCTTCTCTGCAACACATTGCACATATGCTCAATGGGATTGAGCTCTGGAGTCAATGGAGGGAATGGGCAGATGGGAAATTCCCAGGTTTTCTAAACATTGATGAACAACTCTGCCTCTATGAGGTCTGGCATTCTCACCCTGAAATAGAAAAATCCCTGCCATCGAGATCCCTGGTTTGAGGAATGTATTCCTTGATAATTTCTTGGACACAACGGACCGCAGGGAAGTTACCTTCAACAATAAGGAGTCCAGTTTGGCCTCCAATGTAAATCCCAGTCCAGACCACTACTCTGCGTCCTCTAAACCGCACTGAAAGGAGTACAAACTGAGGCATTGTACGCATCCCCTGTTGGTCTCTATCACTAAACAGACAGAAATGCAGTAAACATAACAGCATTCCAATTAGTGTTCTCTTCTAGGTGCTCATTGCACAATATTCTCCTGAATTGCAGGTGGTGGGCTGTTGATGCAGGTCGTCTCAAAGGGTCATACAATGTGAGCCCAACTTCCCATAAATGATTATGAATTGTTTGTGTTGATAAAGGCTTTACCAAAACATCTTGTATTACATTTAGGATCAGGAGGGCACTAGGGCAAGTTTTCCATCTTGCAGCAATGATAATATTTTTATTCTCCTTTAGCATCATAACGTGCTGAGATCTCTCCTCCATATTGGTACTTCCAGCCTTTCGGAATCGGGCTAAAGCTTGGGAGACCATGCTCTGAGAGCGATATCCACTTGCTGGTGACCTCGGTGACTCATTCTCACTATAATATTGCAAACTTCTGGTTCAAGTGATGTCTTTCTATGGTTAATTTATCGGCTAATTTAATTCAAATTAATAGAATAAGAATAATATCCCTATTCATTTTTGAGCAGTTTACTTCTTCTTTGTAGTCTGTAGATACATAAATAAATGTCGTAAATAGTGTTTCCAGGATGATGTCAGTCCTCATTTCTAAGAATGAGTGTACAATTTTATTACTGATGTGTAACAGGAGTGTCTAAATTCCATCCAATTTTATTGTTTTTGGAGCTAAAATGAACTTTCTTAAGATTAAAGCTTGATGTATAAATAATTGAAATAGAGGTAGTTTTAGGACTCTTCCAGCAGTGCAATTGATGGAGTTATTTTCATCAACCCTGTGATATGTAGGTTTTCCAGTCTTTGCGGCCTGTTGTTTTTGCTTAGTTTGATAATTTGGTTTCTTATTACTGATGCTACTGGTCTTTTATTTGTGGATAATTTGTAGAGCAATAAAAAATAGGTTCATCCATTTCTTAACATTTTTCTTTTTTAGGGTTGGGGGTTGATGGAGAATTATGAGGATCCTCTCCTCCATTACGATGTAAGCAGATCTATTGCGGAAGCGCATTTTGTTTTTGATGATGATCCAGCTTTAGTCATAAAAGTTTTACGAATTTTAATTTTACAATTAATAATAGGTTAGGAAATGATATAAAACTACCTTTTTTGACGTGGACCCGTCAGTATGGGATGGTTTTTTTGTTACAAAATTTGAAATTGGCAGAAAATCCACGTAGAAGTAATGAAGATGTCGGGCGAGTAGGGCGGAGTCGTTATCTCGGTCGGCGGGCGCAACTTCGAAACAAGGCGGGCTCGAATTGGAACAGCTGTTTATTTAAAACTGCGATCGTGTGTTTTCTCGAAAGCTGCTTGGGCCCACGATAGGTGATAAATACATTTAATATATCTTTATTTATTTTGTAAGAACATTTAGTAATATTGTATTTACCGTGTTCAATTAATTCTCTGCTTCGATTATTCCAACAACAATTTAGTTTGGTGAGGGAAAAGTTTTCGACGGGACCGAATAGTTGCCCGTTGTATTATTAACTCGAGGCCGATTTGTTGCCCACCCGTTTTATTTATTCGCTTTTCCTTTTGTCGACAATATATTCTTCTTTTCTAAGCTACATTCGTAATTTTAATCTATTGTAAAAACTCAATTTAAATAGTTCACGTTTGTTTATTATTTTTAGCCATTGGGTCGACTTTGTCGCCATATTGTTCGATTTACTTGCTCAGTCAGTTGTTTAGGAAGTTTTTCTTCCTTTTTATAAATTGCAAATAAGTTTGTATTTATTTTAAATTCTCTATTGTCGATTTTCTTCGGAGTCGGACACGGATTTCCTCGGCCTAACCTGCCAACGCGTCGAGCGTGGAGTCCGGGACCTGGTGGCCTTTTTTCATTTTCCACGATGGGGAAATCCTCGTCCCTTTTCTGCATTTTATTTGAAAATACAAATACAAAACCTCCATAAACTATCAAAGAGATTATTGAAACAATGCGAAGAAGCGACCTACGCAAAGGCAAAAATGCTCAAGGTTTTCAATTATACAAATATAAACACTTCATTTCTAGGACTGACAAGGGCAAAGTGTTTCTTGACATTATAAACCGGTTTAAATTAAATCAATGCTAATCCCCATGATCTTTTAAAGGTTGTATACAAATGCACAGTATACATTTCAAAACATCCGTTCAAAGATTAAAACTAATCGCTACTTTTAACGCTCATCTGACGATGAAGCAGTCATTGAAATGCATCCAATACTGATCATTGAAAAAGGAACATCAGTCAAAACATGGCCGTCTAAAAGATTTCTCCATGTTGTCTGTGTGGTTACGAACAAGTAATTGCATCGGTACTGATCATTTTGATATGGAGGACCTTATTGGATAAAGGATAGATAGACCAAAATTATATGTTTAAAATGTTTAAACAATTTTATCAAATATTATTGCTGGTATCTTCCAACATAATTAGACTAATGTAATGATCAAGATTATGGTCAAGGTCGGCGATGTTTTTAATCCAAAGACAGTTATACTGAGATTTCGACTTTATTTCAAATCATCCTCAGGTCCTTGAAAACTGTAAAATAGTGAACTTGCTACACTGATGGACAATTTAATGCACCACTCTTTATTTAGTTTAAAATTAGATTTGTAGACAAAATAAACAGTAAATAATTCTTTGTTTACTACTGATTAATCTCATTTGCACAAAAAATAGCATAATGCTACGCCTAAAGATTGCTTTCAGTCAGTCTTGGTTTCATTGATATTATTTTTATTCTTAGACCTTATTCAATGGCTTCAGTCAGGCATTCGAATAAGTATGACAGTGTCAGAATCATAACATTTGAGAAAGTATACAGCCAGGGCAACGTCGCCAAGAGACTGAGTGTAAATCACCTTACAGGGTTGACCTAGGTCTACAGACGAGAGAGGCAATAGATTTATCTGTCATCAGGCTCTACGAAACTGCAGCAAATGAGATAAGAAACCTGATAGGACAAGTTCAAAATGTTTCATTTCCTCCAGGACTGTAAGAAAAAGGCTCTATGAAAATAACCTCCGAGCCCGGCACCCATCTTGTGAAATTCTTCTTGCCACTGCGCAAAAAATGGCCAGGCTTTAATTAGCTTGGGAACGTGTGAGTTGGATATTGGAAAATTTGGGACGATTCGCTTTATAGATACCTCAAACCGTCAGATGTGTGTAATATCATATGGAGAGGCTTAGGAGAAATGTACCCCCTTGCTGTACGGTTCTTCAGATGGCATTTCCTTGGACGCCCGCACCGAATTGGTTGTTGTGCGAGGAAGATCTCTCACTTCACAGAAGTACTTACAAGGCATAATCGAAGAACATGTAGCGGTGTTTGCCCCCAACATCGTCGAGAGATTAAGGCTAAAACAGGCCCCATAGAGCACATTTTGTGGATGACTACCTGAATCAGTTTGGATTGAGTGCTTGGGATGGCCAGCTCGAAGTCAAGATTTGACCACAATCGAACACATTTGGGACCAACGACAAGTTGAAATTCAGCAATTTCAACAGCAAAATTGTTTCTCTGCTAAGAAACGACCTAGAATTACTGACCAACTACACTGATGGACAGAATTAACACACCAGCCTTAAATTTTAATATATTTAGGTTTATTCATATTTTGCACACCAAAAATAGGTTTGGTTGCAAAAATAAGACATTTACAAAGAAAATATTTTACTACCTAATTCTTAAAAAAAAAAAAAAAATCTAACAAAATACTTTATTGTCCCCTTTATTACCGACTATTTCTACCTCTGGCATGAATATGTCCTGTTGAACACAGTCCTTGAAAAAGTTTTCTGGTATAATCTTGAGGAATTCTTTCTCATTCATCAAAAACAGCTTGAAGTGTGAAGCACCGAAGAACTCTTCCTATTGTAGAGTGATTTATACTCCTGGCAACCTCGAATTGGCTGTATCCTTTCTGAAATAATGCTATGACACTGTCACGCTAACTTAAACACCTCACTGGAGCTAATGAAAAAAAATTTTAAGAATAAGAATAATATCAAATGAAATTGACAAAGGAAAAAGATTAACTGAAAGCGATCTTTAGACGTAGCATAATGCTACTTTTTGTGTGAATGAGATTAGTCAGTACAAAAGTAAACAAAGCACTATTTACAGTTTATTTTGACTACGACAGCTCCTAATTACAGGTAACTAATGTAGAATGATATTAGATTTAATTTTAAAGTAAACAAATTGAATGGTGTGTTAAATTTGTCCATCAGTGTAATAATCAGAAGTATAATTAAAGTGGTTATAAAAAGAACAATGATACCACATTTTAATAAATTTCATAATAAATCAGATCACCAACTCATGCTGACATCAAGAGTTATCTTCAGTTTATGCTAATTTATCCAACGTCCGACTATTAAACTTATGTTAATCCTATTTCTTATAATATCACATAAAAAAATATAAAAAATTACCCGAGGTTTTTTTCTCATTATAACAATAAATTTTAAAATATATTTTTAAGTCTTGTTCACAATAGTATAATCATGAAAAATCTTTTTGAAAAAAGTGTTATTAAGGCTTAGTCTCTAACAATTTCAATATGATATTGACACAATATCATGTCTTCCTGATCACCAAATAAAAACCTTTAAAAAAAAAAAAAAAAATAATGTGTACATTGTACAGACAAGTTCAAATTTTAGTTACACATTGCAATAAAGATATTCTGATGCATAATCTAGCTGGTGGAATACAAATTTGGATATGGTTTAAAAGGAAAATAAGGGTTTGTTTTAACCATGACAATTTTTTTATGACAGGATTTCCTCAGTGGGGAACTGAATCGAGCCATAGATGCAGCTGAAATTGAGTGTCGGGGTGGGTGACACAATCACCATTGATGTGCAGCCGACTGATACCTTCCAAGACCTTTCTGAACGACTTTTCAGCCTCGGGAACGTCAAGGTCGATTTGAACCAACTGAGGTCTTCGAACAACGACAAGCCGTTTGATATGTCCACAAATGTCATCGAGTACTTCACAAGCAAGAGTCAGAAGGGCTCGGACAGCAAGGACGAGTTTAGGTTCAAGTCCCGTCTATGCCGCCTCTGCATGGAGCCAATACCGCAGAACCCTTATTTTCTATTCGACTCCAAGGAGGACGAAGTGATGCTAGCTGAAAAAGTCAATGAGGCACTTCCCATTCATGTATTTTTTTTTCTTTTCTTTAGTCATAACAATTTAATTTGTATTAAATTTTATTAATTTTTAGGTCACTGTAAAAGACGCTCTTCCAAAACAGATATGCTCTAACTGTGTTGTGTATTTGAATAAAAGTTATGATTTTATGAAAAAAGTTTTAGAAGCACAAAAGGCTTTAGAAAAACTGTATAATGTTAATGAACTGTAAGTAAATTTTTCAAAATTATATTATATATGATTTAATCATTAACCCTAAATTTTGTAAATATTAGGTGGTATTACCATAATCCTAATAGCACATTTAGTCTGAATTGGTCGATAACTCTTCTTTAGCATGCTCTAAATTTGCTTTGTATTTAAAAAAAAAATATTTCTCTATATATGTATATATTAGAAATTATCAAATATTATGGGCTTATCTAATAAATCAGTTTTAGGGAGACAAAAACGAACAGTTGCTGTCCACTTTGTTCGTACGGCAACATGAAGAACCTTCACAAAAAGACAAACAACGGGCCTAATCTCCCGAGGAAAGAAAACGTAGTTAAGAAAGAAGTTGTTATCTCTGTACCAAGGAATATTGTCAGAAAAGACGGCCTCGGCCACAATGCCAAAATGTTTGATAATCTGGCCAACATCGAACATCAAGGTGACACGACGATAATTATAAATGCCCGTGAAAATATATAATTTTTATTTAATTTGTATATTTATTTAATAGAATACTTTTTTGATGATGAAGTCGTTACTGGATATTGGGACCCAGGCTCTCAGTCTTCTATAGACGTTTACGGAAGTAAAAAATACAGAAAGCGTATCAAGTTGGAAGATGATGCTGATTGGACCATCGACGAGGAATACGTTCCTGTGAATAGAAGGGGAAGACCGAAAGGGACGAAAAACAAGCCCAAGGTAAACATTTCATTCGAACCTACATATTTGAAATACTCGACTCATTTGTATTTTCAGGTCGTTCAACCGATCGTGGAAAAGAGTTGTGCACTTTGCGGGTGGCTCGGCGCCGACACGGACATATTCGCACACGCTATCAACCAACATTGTCAACCTGACATGGGCTACTTCCCATGTCCCCTTTGTAAGACAAACCAGGTCAATGAGATGGTACTCGAAACTCATATCGACCGACACAACGTGGCCACGCACAAAAGCCTCGCCAAAGATAAATAAGGTATATCCATTGCGTTTTTTTTTTCATATTCCGTTCTGACTTTAATTCTCTTTACAGGACAACCAATTATTATGTATATTGGATTTGAGACAGTAATTATTACACAAAGTTTGTAAAAAGAGAGAAAAAAAAAAGGAATAGTTATACAACAAATTGTAAAATAGCTTGTTGTTTGTATAGTTCTCTACTGGAATTTGCTTCCAGTGTAAATATTCTGACACAAGACTTATTTTTCTTTATATGAAGAAAAAAGTAACATCATTGTTCACTATTTATTTAATGTTAGTGTTTTTACTTGATAATAATAAAAAATTTTTATATTGTAAATAATAATAATAATATGAAGTGTTGCCATTTATTTAAACATAAATTGAAACTAGTATTTTTCTTCAGTTCCAAAGGTTAAAATTTTGTTTTCGCTAATTTTGAGAAAATGTACTTTAAATAAATAAATAATAATAATAATGGCATATTATGTGCTTTTTTCCCTTAAAAAATTGTTAATTAAAACTAATTTAAAGTCAGTTTTTTGTGTTTTATTCATATTTGTACCTGCTTTTTTCTGTTCGGCCTAAAAAAGTTAAAAGAAAATTTAAAAACCTACATGACGACTCAATTAGAAATTATGTAGATGTAACACTAGGTGAAGCCACTGACTTGCTATTTAATGCAATAAAAAAAAAAAAATTAAAAAAGCCAATTGTCTAAATTCCTCCATTAAAAAAAAAGAGGATGGTATGTGGGCGAGAGATAACAAGAGAAAAAGCCAAATTTTTGCCAGTCACCTTAATGAAATCTTCAAAAGAAATAACAAATAGCAGCTTACTTGAAGTAACAACCACCCGACAGGAAGAAAATATAAAGCTAGTTACATCTAAACAAATAGCACAACAAATTAAAAATTACCTACTAAAAAGACTCCAGGATATAGTCAAACTAATACATATTTAATATCTTACAATTAATTAAGGTTTTCAGTTGAGATAAAAAAGTCAATGGCACGAGCGGGATTCGAACCCACGACCTTTGGCTTGATACGCCGCTGCTCTACCACTTGAGCTATCGTGACCTCAATCCACTCGGACACCAACCTCCCATCTCAACCAAACCTTAACCAACCAAAATTTAAAAGGTGCAATTGAGATGGGAAGTTGGTGTCCGAGTGGATCGAGGTCATGATAGCTCAAGTGGTAGAGCAGCAGCGTATCAAGCCGAAGGTCGTGGGTTCGAATCCCGCTCGTGCCATTGACTTTATCTCAACTGAAAACCTTAATTAATTGTAAGATATTGATTGGTCAAGCGGACCACGAAACTAGTGAATACATATTTAATGTTGCAGTCAGACAAATATATTTCCAGCATCTGAAGTCATGATTAAAAAAAAAACAAAAAAAAACCAAAAACCAGTAAACAAGGTCAATATGTAGACCAACATCGCTACTACCCACAGATTATAAGTTTTTCAAAAAGTTATTACTAAAAAGAATAAAACTCATTGTAGAACAAAAGAAAATAATCTATAAAAACAGGATAAAAGAACAGACTTTCAACAATTGACCAAATTCACTTAGTAAAGGACATAGAAAAATCACTTGGGGGAAAAAAAATGTTCTGCTAACTTCCTTAGTCTTCAAGCTTTTAACAAGGTCTAGCGTGAAGGACTTTTTATTTAACTAAAAGGGATGCTACCAGCCAAGCCAAAGCAGTTTGCAGATGTCAGTTCCTACCTGTCAGACATACAGAGTCAAACAAATATTCAGAATAAAAACAATAAATGCAGGAAAGCCACAGATAGCATATTATAGGTCCACTGCTTCACTTGTTATACACCAGCGATTTTCTGATATTAGACAGAGTAAAATTGCAATTTTTGCAGATGGTGATATCAGTAGGACCGACTGTCAATCATTTAACCAAAATGCTTGTATTAAGTAAAACGAATGGATAAAAAAGAAAAGAAAAATTAAGCTCAATCAGCTTAAAACAGTACATATAAGCTTTCCAGACAAAAAAGTGGGCCTTTTTCTTTTGTTCACGATCAATGGAACTATTTATACCATACAGCGATTCAGCTAAATATCTGGGAATGACCTTTTAGATGCCAACCTGAGATGGAAAGTGCACATGAAGAAGAAAAAAAAAACGGACAGTAATAGGTTTAGATATAGAAAACTATATTGGTTGATTGGACATTACTCCAACCTTACTATACAAAATAAAATGTTATACAAACAAGTCCTAAAGCCTATGTGGGCACACGGTATTCAACTATGGGGTTGTACCAAACACTTTGTAATATCAAAATCATACAAACACTCCAAAATAAAATAAGTAACATGATCACTGCACCCTGGCACTTAAGGAATAAGTACTTACATCTTAAGATCCCTAAGGTCATGACAGATATACAAAGATTTGCTGCCAAACACCAGTCCGCCTCAGGAGAATTTGGAAGCGACCAAACTCTTACATAACAGAAACATCAAAAGGTTAAAAAAGCCATATGACCTAGTGTAGTTAAAAATTAGTCAAATGTAAATCTTATTGTAACAATGGGTTTATAAGAATGTAACATTTATTTATTCTATAATATTATTATAAACTTAATGGTTGGTCTAATAAGACGTTTTAATAAATAAATTTAATTAAAAAAAAAACTTATGAAAAATAAATTATTTAAACTGGAAAACTTTTTAATATGGTTGCGATGTCTTGGAGGTCCTTATGTCGGGGCTTCTTATTGTTTAAGAATGTAAATATTTATTTATTTTATATACATTATACCCATTTAGCCAGACCCCGATTATCGGACAGATTTGTTAAAATATTTTTTATAAATTATTTGAAGATTGTGAGGTGCAGTCTGGTATAGAGGTATAATCCCACGATTTCCAAATAATCATTAATTAACGGTCATTAAACACCACACATTTTTTTAAATAAATTTGTCATAATTCTCAATGTATGTATATTAATTTTTTTTAAATTTATAATTCAACTATGAGACCTTTAATTCGTCGTTTGAAATTGGAAAGGCCACCAAATCGGCCGGAGAGGCACATTTTTGTGGCATAAATAAATAAATTTAAAAAAATATATAAAAAAGTGTATACTATTTTAAAAGACAAGAAATTCTTTCGTGTTGTTTGTATGTTAGCTTCCATTGAAAAGATTCTTTTTTATTACGTATATTTTTATTAGGTACTTTTTACGTATAAATTTTTCGAGAAACGCATGTCCGGACTTAAACAAAAATTAAACTAATAAAATCTATCTATTACTTTAAATATTACTTGATATATATGAATGAACATGTTCACTTTCGTATGTTTTTTTTTTCAGTTTTTATGACACGATACTGATAAAATCACAAATTTTCGGATTATCCGGATCAGTCCCGGTCCCTTCAAGTCTGGATAAACTGATTTCTACTGTATATTATTTTAAAATTAATGGTTGGTATAATAAGACCAGTTACACAATGTGTAATTCGCGCTCTATTGAAACTATATCCCACTTCTTGGCGGAGTGCTCAATCCTGGGTGAGATTCGGTTGTTGCATCTCGGATGTTTCACTCTCCCCAGGGTTGACCTGATACGGTTTTTGAGTGGCTCAAATTCGCGGCCCTCAATTCGATATGCTAGGCATGCATGGAATTACAGATATGAATTAATTAATGAGTTCAATTTTTGATTTCTTTTGTATAACCTGTTTTTGTTCTCTTTCGCATTTTGGCAGTTGTTTCTCCTTTTTTGTTCTTTTTATTGAGTAGGCTATAACTTTTATTTTATTGTGTATTTTTTAGTTTTTGACTGTTTAATCAACGACCTCTGGCAGACGGATCCAAGATCCATGGCCTTAAATGCTTTAAAATCTAAATTGTCTTTTTCCCTTTTTTTTATGTTTAGTAAAGCATTATTATTATTATTAAGACCAGTTTTAATAAATAAATAAATTAAAAAAATGATATTCCAGACAAAAAATTTATTGATTGGATAATCATGAAAGAGAGATAAATGATTTTCTTATATGTCCAATGGGATTTTCAACAGATAAACTACTAAAAAAGCTGAACGTTGTCACAAATTAATTCAATGTTTGTAGGATATTGACCGAAAAACAAGGACGAGTGTCTCAGCAGTTTTTCTTTTTTTCCAACCAGTCGTCTTGGGTTAAACCCAACCCAATTTCACTAATAACTTACTTTTAATCTCTGGACTCCCCCAGAGTGCTCGATGTTCCTCGAGGCAGGGTGAAATAACAACCCCTTTCTTCCATGCTAATAAATTTACATTCATTCCAATAAAATAACATAAATACAACACAAAAACACATTTCAAAATCCTTATAGCCCTGAGATACCGGAATGGCATTCTGTATCCCGCTGCCGTACCCCAAGACATGCTACATCATATATTATAATAAACTAATAATAGTACTGCATATACAAATTATTCAAGTTGAAAGGTGTAAATAAATAGTTCAATTGGATTTTATAAGCCTTTATTATTTTTTGGGGCAACATAAATATTTTATATACATTTCTTTGGCTAATTGTTATAATACACAATGGAAATTTCCTTAACATTAACAATCTAAAACATATTAAATATAATTTCATTTTAAATAATAACATTTTAAGTCGCAAAACGATTTGGATTGTCTGTAATCGAACAGACGACACTCCCTGAACGGTCTCACTATCTCAATCGCTATAACGATTAATCAAATAATTTCAACGCTAAACTAACATTTTATGTGTCTGTAACTATGTACAGAATTTTTTTTTGTTAAATTTTAAATTTCATAAAATTGCTCTTAATTCGAATTTACGATACAAAAACGTGCAGGCTAATTATTTCGGTGTGCAACGCTATTCGCAGCACCTAAGCCGCGTTTTAGTCCACTATGCTAACCTCAACATCCCAGACAGATTGCCACACCCTGGAGATAAAGAAGCACTCCACAAATAAAGTGCGCCGATTTATTACTAGGCCAGAGACAGGTAATTGAGCTTTTGGCAAGTTAACAGAAAGTAGACTAGAGAGCATACTGTGATCACAAAGTAGTGAGTATTTTCGTACGTTTTATAATTATGAAGTTAGTAGCCTTATCACCCTATATACCAGGAATGTGACAATTTTAAAATTTATTTCTACTAATAATAATTTAATACAGAGTAATAGTAATAATATAATAATTATAGTCATTATTAAATTATATATGCCCTAACTGGGTGCAAGTAATTAATAATTAAAAATCGGGGTAACTTATCTATACAATCAAAAGTAAAATTAAATAATTTATCACAGGAATGGAAACATTGTATTCTTAATGTTGAAAATATCTTGAATGATTTAACATTAAAGCTAAAACAAATCTGAACAAATATGATAAACAATTATGTGGGCTTTAAAAACAACTTGTATTAAAGCCCACAATTTACAGAAAAAACATCAAACCTTACTACATGAATATCGATTCATTTGCTAACCTTTTTAACATTATCCTTAATAACTTATTTACCTAAAATTTCAAAAATTAAGTATGAAGGGGGTATTTTCTATAACAACAAAAGATGCAGAACTTTCAGTGTTATAAACGACTCTTTTAAGTCATTCAAACAAACAGATATTGCTGTTTAACTTTTTTAAATTTATTTAATTGGAAGTAGTGTGTATTAGCTCAACGTTAGCCAATTTTGTATATTTTAAGTACACAAAATAACTAGGCATGTTAATAATACGGTATGTGGGCTTAGAATCAGAGGCCTTTAAGTTAAAAGCTCTTATTATCTCACTTGCCTTTAAGAATGCCCCTGTAAGAATTGAAATAACGAGTTATAGCCAATAATTGACTCTATATTTATATTCAACCTAAAATTCAATTTAGATTGTATCACAAATTTAAATATACAATAAACTTCTTCATAAAAAAAAATAAAATCGTCTATTGGGAAGGTGCCCTAGAATTCTTTTAAGCTAAAAAACCCTGTTAAGTTTGAACACTGTTTTTTTTAAAATCTTTTTCTTCCAGAAATGAATATTTCACTTAATTTTTTGAGCAGACGTGTGATTTTTGCTGTCGATATTCAAACCACTTCCAAGGTAAAAACATAAGTCGGGTGATTTTGGCTTATGAAAAACGTATTCCCTTTATGGGCTTTATGTCCACCGGCAAGTGTTAAATACAGGAGAAATAGTGAAAGCTTTACTTATTACTAATGAGTTATTGGTATTGCACTTGAGGCTAAATAAGCGTCGGCATTATCTCCTGGCACCCGACACTGAGGAGTAAATCGACCAGGCTGGATGCGTAACCCTCTGCTGATTGGCCCCTGGCAGCGGATCTGGCCAAACTCACACAACTTCTACCTTCATTGTCTAACACATTGACATCTGCATTGTGCTGCAACAAGGAAAAAAAATAAACTTTACAATATTTATGTTCTGACTCGATTTGTCTTTTGATACCACCAGAGGTGATAACATGCTGAAACGTGCCTAAAAGAGGTTATGAAATTCTGATGAGTAAGCCAAAAAGACAACTAAGTTTTCTTCAAGTAAGGAAGACTTACTTGGCTTTTTTGGATTGCATGTTGACCCAACAAAGGAGATCCACAGGAAAAATTTCAATTTTCACGGTTTTGGATGCAAGGGGCTAACTTTGTGGTAGGAAATGGAGGGTAAGATGAGATCTCGTTCAAGATCGAAATGAGAAATGAGGGGACGGGATTTAGGATCGGAGGAAGTACAGGATAGAGGGCAAAGTCCACTTGACTCTGCCTAGAGCCCAAAAAATGTAAAAAAAGATAATGTAATATGATTATATACCCAAAGAAGGAGCTGAGCTACAGCCAAATTTCCAGTAGCACATGCTATATGAAGTGCCGTCCTTGAATCTTTCGGGCCGATCATTGTGTTGGCAAGATCGCTGTCCCCGTTGACTAAAGCCTCAATAACACCTCTGATATCGTTCCTGAAATTCAAGAAAAAATTGTAATAACATTGTTTTTCAATCTTTAAAATAAAAGGTTTTTGGTTACCTTGAAGTTGAATCGATTAAGAGTTGAGACAGGTTGACGGTCGGTTCTAAAGGTTGAAGAAATTCTTTGGTAACGTATTTAGCCAGAGCCCACCGTTCCTTCTCCTCCCGCGGTGACGATGCGATCGGTTTTCGCCGCCCTCTTATGTCGTTTTCCCATATGCTGTTGGCCAGTCTGTTCCCGACCGAAAGCATTACGCTCAAATGGCCCGCTCTGAAATGAAAATTCGGTAAAAGAAAAACCCTACGGGGTTTAATATAATCACAACTTACGGCCATTCGTCGAGGTGGAGGGATCGGACCTTGGAAATATGCGAGCCGAGATTCCTGTGAATGCCGGAACATTCAATGCAAAGTAGAACACCAAGATTCAAACTCGCCCAATCTGGATCTGTTAATAAAAAATTACAAAATGAATTAAGTATTAACCCTGGAGTTTAAACCCTATTAACCCTGGTAGTTTTAAAATCTCCTCCCCCCAGCATCACTGTGACTTAACCATATTTGTATGTCCCTACTTTTAAAAGGAAAAACGTTATATTCTTTTCGAAATTTGAAATATAAATGAATTTATCAAAAAAACATTTTCACAATCGGATTGGCCCCTTTACAGTGGGTAGAACACCTGAACAGCTTCACGCCTAAAAGGTTGAAAAGGTCGACCTAATATGCATATTTGATTGAAGCCCAATTAACCGAGCTAGAAATGTTTTTGTTACCAAAGTGAACGGAATCAAGAATTAAATGACAGGGACATTGTGCATAGATTTGAGGTTTTTTTTTTTTTTTTTTTATTATTATTTGTTTTTTTATTGGCCTTATGATCTTGCATATTAGCCATAGTACGAATTCTTTGTGTGTTCAAATTGGGGGTTATCGGGAAAAAAGGGCCAGAGGCGACGGTGGGAATCGAACCCACGACCACGGCGTGAGTCTCATGCTAACCACTAGGCTACCATGGTCCCCCAACGATTTGGGTTTCATCAGCACACAATTGAAAATTGCGCTATTTCAAATAAGAAGGGTTAATAAAAAAGTTGAGAACAATAAGGGTCCTAAAATTGGTGAGGAACACCAGATGACTTAAAGGTCAGATGAGAGTTTGTTATTAGGTAGTTTGACTTGTTTACGACCTGACAAATAAAAGGATATTAATTTAAAGCTAGAGAACGAAAAACCAAACAAATGTTCAAATTTCCAAATAAGTAGGTTATGAGCACTTGCTTAACATATTCAATGAAGAGAATGTCCACAGTGGAGTCAAGCTGGACTCTCGACAGGTACGGGTGAGCCCACAATAGGGTCAAACCTTCTCTCTGAGACATCGAAGTTTTTTCCCGCATTTTAGTTAGAAAAGTCGTATATGGGGGGGGGGGTTTCGAACGATTCAGAACAGCCTGGTCTATCTTATTGTGAGCATCGTCCCCGAGACTCTAACCTTAAACTGCTAGATAGCATAACACATGCTTATCTACTTTCTACACTGCACTTTTTTGGTAAGTTTGATCTTTCTTCTAAATAATAAAATGTTATAAAATTAAAAATAAGTTTTGTCGGTTTGTCTTTGCACAAAACCAATACATTTTGAAACCGACTTTGACAAAGTATATTATTACAGAACAATATACAAGAATATACAAGGTGTGTCAACTTTTATAGTCAACCCATTTAATTTAAAAACGGTTAACTTTTATCAAAAAATGGTCTTATACAAACCCCAAGTTAATTTTGTCTAGGAATCGCGTGGTTGTAACAGATTTAACATAACTTTCTCATCTAGAATATAATAAATCTGTTACCACCATGTGATTCCTAGCCAAAATTAATTTGGGGTTTGTATAAGACCATTTTTTAATCAGTTAATCGTTTTCGAAATAAAGGGGGTGGGCAATCTTGTTACGAAAAATGTACCCCCTTACATGTCTTCTGTCAGGCATAACTCACAAATGGTCAATCCTATCAAAATTTCCCTTTTAGTAAAAGTGGCATAAAATAAACTCTGGAATCGAATGGTACAATAAAATAAGGGATTCTCATTTAAAATATGTCAAATTCTTTTCATATTGTGTCATTTCCCAGCTAGATGAGAAAGTTATGCTAAATATGTTACCACCACATGATTTCTAGCCAAAATTAACTTGGGGTTTGTATAAAACCATTTTTTGATAAAGTTAATCGTTTTCAAAATAAAGAGGGTGGGCAATCTTGTTACAAAAAGTGTACCCCCTGACATGTCTTATGTGTGCCTTTCAGCAAAAGTGGCACAAAATAATTGATAAATAAATAAGCTCTAGAATCGAATGGTACAATAAAATAAGGGATTCTCATTTAAAATAACAAAGTAGTGTCATTTGAGACTAGATGAGAAAGCTGTTACATCTGTTACCTCCACACGATTTCTAGGCAAAATTTATTTGAGGTTTGTATAAGACCATCTTTTTGCGAAAGTTAATCATTTCCTAATTAAAATGGCTGGACTATAGAAATTGATAACCCAGTATATACGCGATTAATCAATTTTACCTCCGTTTTCACATAATAGAAGGAAGTCAGGATGACCCAATAAATATATTTTGACAAAATTCATCAACAGCAATTCAGTTTTTGAAAATATAATTTATATTTTTATTTTCTTATAATGGGTAATAATCATATTTTTTCCAGAATGACCACAGCCGGGACCCATTTGGATGTAAACACTTACTGCATGGGGTGCAGGGACAAGCTAGGGCTATGCATTTCAACATGGTTTTTAGAATTTCACAAAAACAAAAATTTTAAATCATTCAAGTAATAAAAAATATGTTAATATTTATTATTTTTATTGTAAATAGTTTCGTGATTTTTAATTTAATTTATATTCTTTTTAAATTTGTTTTAATTTTAAACAATTCAAATGAAAGAAAAAAATTGTAAATATGTAATTTTATTGTTGTAAATACGCTGTTTTGTAATTAAAAAAATTCATTTTGTAAAAATAAAAACATGGGTAATAACAACTGTAAATATTAGAGAAAAAATCAATTGTTCTTATCTAAACAAGATTTTTTTTCTTTTATTTATCATGGAAATATTTTCCCCATGCACACATTGGTGAAGAAAAATTGATCAAAATAAGTTTTTGAAATGGTTTAGAGTAATTCGAGACTTAACAGTTAAATCACGCCAAGGGCACACAAAGTGCGTTGAGTTGCAGGTTTGCAAACTCAGACTTTCACCGCACACAGTTGACCTCACTTTGGAGTCATGGTCTTAAATTTATTAATTAGAACCTAAATACAATTAACCTGTCATTTTGCGAAAAAAATATTCCGCACCTGGGTGACGGTATTGGATTTCGGTTCCACGCTTTTATTTCTTAGCGCATTGTTATTGCCTTTGAAAAGTGGCTGTTATTACAGGCACAAAGAAACTGTTCTGATGTTTCTTTCCTTCTGATTTTCCTCAATGTTCTCTGCTCGGTTATGTTTCATTTTCTGTACATTTCACTCTGATGGGGGGATATTGTCGGCTATTTCAATCTCTTTATTGCTTTTCTTAGAATTGTGCAGAAAAAAAAATGGAAGACTAAATGCTGCTTTACTCTGAGAATATATCTTTGCATCTTTGAATTTAGTGAGCACAAGTTTGAATTTAATCAACTTTGGCTTCAAAAATTGAGAGAATGTTTTAAACGTTTTAATATGACAAAATTCGATCCTTTTACACCTCGTGACCATTTCCCCCCAGCATCAAAGGGCTTTTTTTATGTTTTAGCCTTTCAATCTTCCAAAATGTCTCATTTTTAAATTAATTGATTGCAAGCTTACTTGGCGCATCGCAGTCTGCACAGAATCCATTCCCTTGCACCATAGTTCTTATGGACTGAATTGAATTAGCTTCGACGGTCGAATTCAGCCTGAGTTTTCCTTTACTGCTTTCTACACTCTGAAATTAAAAAAAAGTTTACATTTAAAAACGTAACGGTTGTCGAACAGAAATAAATTAATTACCTGAAGTGTATTGAGAATTTGATTTTCAATGGCTGTAACCCAGTCGTCCCTTTCTTCGCAACTGTTGGCTTCGAAATGCCATTGTTTGTTGTCGAGCGACACAATAAGAAATTCATAACCGTCTGTATCTGATATCAAAGCAAACAAGAATATCAAATAATTACATAGGCTTATATTATTTATTTTTAAATTACAAAAAAACCTATATTTACCATCGCAATCATGATGGTTTTTCACACTGCTGCTCTTCATCCGCCTGTGCCTTTTTTTGACATTTGGGGTTTCCGCCTTAGAGTCAGTCCCATTTGCCATCAATGCATTCATAGGAATGATTAAAGAATCCTCATTACTAGAAAATAAAAGTTGTCATTACTTATCAATAAAAAAAATTACTGCGTCTATGAAACATACTTGGGAATCCTCCCCGGTTCCTTAAGTATTTCAAAAGCGGTCAGTAACACCTTGTCCTGGATACGTTTTTCTTTGTGATGGAAATCTAAAAATCGATTCTGTCAGTGTTTTTTCTCTGACGGTAATACAAATAGAAAACATACTTGATAATGATGAGAGGGCGTCATTGCTTCCGTTTGATTGGACGATAGTTTTAGAACCTCTAGGTTTCTGCCCAGGAACTTTCACAGTTACATACTGTAGAGGAATTTCTTTACCGTGAACATCTTCCATGTAATCCTGTCGATAAAATAAAATTTAATACGATTGTTAATGTTTAAGTGGGGAAATTATCTTACGTGTAAGCTCGGGTGGTATGTGAGCCTTCCATCATCGCACAATGTCACATATTTTTTCTTCCATTCTTTATTCAGAGCCTTGCTGCTTCTTTTGTACAACGTTCCTTGCTTTACGGGTATAGCACGACCGCTTCCGAGCTCTCCTCCATTCTTCAGTTTGTCCTCGCCTTTCTTGGAGGGCGTGAACAAATTGGACCTCCGCCTGTTTTTCCTTGTGGCAGTCGGCGTGGAGCTGGGAGTGGGCAGGTCTTTGCAGGACATTCCCGGGTTGAGAGTCAGGTTGTCGAGCTGTGTCGGTATCTTGGATATGTTATTGTTTTCGCTTGTTAATTCTTTGTGGAGGGCGTGCGAGCTGATCGACAAACACTGTCCAACTGTTCTGTTTACCTCCTTGAAACAAAGTACCTTTATTTATTTATTTATTAAAAAAAAAAAAATTAAAAATCCATTATATTTAGTGGTCTATTGACCAAATTTCTTCTTCAATTAATTAATCTTTTTACAAGAGGTTTTGGTTGAAATGAAAAAGTTAGTGTCACAAGTGGGATTCGAACCCAGCAGTTGACAGTTCAAATCACGCTTGTGGCACTAACTTTTTCATTCCAACCAAAACCTTATATAAAAAGATTAATTGATTAAAACAAGCTGATGGTTAAATTTTGGGAAAAGTTACCTTGTGAGAATTTGAATGCAAATGAGTAGGCGATGACGGTAGGAGGATCTGGGGTGGTGGCATGGGTGTCAAAGGGGTTGAAGGCCTAGATGTGCTTGTAGCCAAACAGCTCGTAGACTGGCTCAACCTTTGTTGTACTATCTTTTGACAAGCTGAAAATAATAATATTTATTAATATAAAAGAGGCAAAATGAATTTCTGTTCGTACAGTAAAACAGTAATGTATATTTAATTTTTTTTAAAATGAAGTAGATGATTGAATTTATTTCACTGAGTGCAGTTTTTTTATGTTGATTAAACAAAATTAAATTTTATGTTCACCAGCTCATCTAATTTGTTTTTTTGTTACCAAATTGTACCACCATGCTACATTCTCATTTTTCCTGACCACATTTCGATTATTTTCAATTTAAATTTTTCTTTGAGAACACACCCCTTCCTTGAATAATCTTTTGTCGAGCGAAGGGTGAAACCTGTTTTAACCACTGGGCCACTTCCTCCGAGTTCCCCCGCTTCCAAGTTTCCCCTTCAGTGATAATCCAATTTTGAACAAAGTGGCCACATGAAGAGGGCTGAGAGAATATCAGCAGGCAAGGAGGTAAAATTTCACATTTGGTACAGAAATGTCTAGATGAGTAGACTTAAGTATAATAAAGAGTTTTTTGATGATAAAAAAACTCTCCATTATGACTTATGTGTGCGTTCCTTTGTATTCCTATTGTGGAGTTCTTTATCTTCTGTAAATATTTACAATAGAAACACACAAATCAACAATGATCTGTATATTTTGACTACAAATACCTAACCTTTAATATCATTTAGTTTTAAAATATCATTTGTTACTTTTTTTTTTTTGTTACATTACACTTTTAAATTGGAAGGAAACAATTGTAGAGAGAAAAAAATACCGTCTTGGAACACCCTCTCCACGTTCAGACCATAGGTAGCGCAAGTCTCGTAGTATGAACACCTTTTGAGGTCGTTTGCCAATTTTCTCGCTCTCGCGTCGTCTATCACTCTTGGATTGCTCTCACTTATAGCATCTAAAAACAAAACAAAATTGGGTGTTGTTAATTTTTTCCATGAAAATTCTCTCTATTCATTACACTCTGTCACCCTCCCCCTTTTTATCTCTACCTCCTGTCTATACAAACACAAAACACACACACACACACGCACGCACGCACACACTTATCCATGACTACTTTTTTCTCCCTCTCTCTCTTTCTTTCTCTATTCAATTCTTTCATTTACTTTCCCCCTTGTTCACTCTATCATTTTCTTTCTCTATGAATCTCTCACTTCATTAAGTGCGGTCTATGAGACCTAACTTTGTGTGGATAATTAAATTGGCTAAATCAATCTATCTCTTTTTCTTTCTTTACTCTTTTATTTCTTTCATTTTTCCCCTTATTCACTCTCACACCCTTTCTTTCTTTCTCTACGTATTTCTCTCTCTATGCATTTCTTTCTTTCATTTCCCCCTTTCTCTATCTTTGATTATTGCTCTATGAATTTCTCTCTTGCTCACTCTATCTACCTATTTATGCACTCCTTTTTTTCACTCTATCCCTTCTTTACTCTCACTTGCCTCTCACTCATCCATGTCTTCCTTTCTTTTCTCTCTTCTTTTTTTCTTTATGGATTTCTCTCTTTCACTTTCCCCTTCTTCCCCCTCACACCCTTTATTTATTTCTTAATGATCACCATTCATAACTCTTTCATTTTGCATTTTTTTTACTCGACCCCCTCTCTCTCACTCTTTCTCTCCCTCCTCCTCCTCTCTCTCTCTTTCTCTCTGGCTCTCTCTTTCTAATTTCTAAGTCTCCTCTTCCGCAACTATAACACTGTCTCGTCTCTCCACATCTCGAATACTTTTTCTCCTTCTCTCCCGCTTTTCTTCTTTTCTTGTTATCTGTACCTCTCAACCTCCAGTACGTCAATATCTCTCTTTCTATTTTCCTCTATTTCCCACCTTTCTCTCTCTCTTGCTCTCTATTATTATCAATAGTACTACTAGTCAATATACAAAAATAAGAATTATTTTGATTAAATGTTTCCGCCTGTACATAATCAGAAATAAATCAAAAAGGAAAGAAAGTTTCAGCAACCCTCAGACAAACTGAAGACAATCAATAATTTGCAGATGTATATTATGTGGTATTTGGTATGCTGTTACAGTGGGGCCAGACCTTATTGTGGAAGCATCACTGGGCCTTAATTGCTCCATTAGACTTGGTTTGTTCATGGAAAAGCAAAGTTGTTACATAATTATGTTGTGTTTAATTAACCCCTTCTTCCTTGTTTATTAGTACAATAATTTATTATAAGAGTTTTAGCAGGAAAGAATTGAGATATAATTGACATGTGCTTTTTGTCCCAAGTTCCTAATGATCCGAAACAACGTTTACGATTTCATTTTGTACGATCAATTTTTCATTCCATAAAGTTCAACAATCGTGTAAGATGCTAAATAGAGTGGTTCAATGATGTAATTAAAATGCGACAGCAATGATTAGGGAGATACGTCGGCCGGCGTGTAGCTTTTTGAGATCTACTAGGCCTCAACTTCAACGGCCTAACGCTGCGGGCGGTAGCCCTCCTCCCATGGGCCATCCGTGTGTCAATCCCAGCTCGAAAATGAAGGAAATAATTCATTAATTAGCGATCACGAGTGACTCTAGTTTAACCCGACTTCTAAACGGGGTGAGGGACGAACGGGATCGATACCGAATACAGATTATGCACCAACTGGGGCAAATACAAAAACTATCACCGATGACCTACTTTGTCCAAAAGAAAGCACACTTGCGGAAGCAGTGCGGTCGGGATCGTTTTTATTACGCTTGTACAAATTGGTCGGGAAGAATGTCACTACATAATAAAATAATTTTGTAGGTGGAATCAGATGTATGTAATACTGCTAGGAGAAAGTTACTACGATACCAAGCATAATTGCAAGAACTGTCTTAAAACAAATGATGTCTGATGTAACAGGTAATTAAAGAAAGTTTAGCTTTGTGCAGCTTACATCTCGCGGAATTTGAACGACCTTCCATACCAGATGTCTATAAACATAAACGGAACGGAATTACAGGGGAGTAACTTAAAAGGAAATTCTATTTATATAAACCCTTTCAATGTTTCAAAGTGTTCGAAAATAAGTTAATCGACTAAAGTTTAATAAAATTTCTTGTATTAAAAGTCGGGACTTATAGTTGTATTTATTTAAATCGTTTTATGCTTTCGTTTCTCATGTACATAAAGCTGTTAGCTTTATATTCCCACAAATCCTATCTCCAGGGTTTGACTCTTCAAAAATTTATTTTTTAACTGTGTTTGATTACGATTACATTAAAAGTCCGATATGTCGTTTTGTTCTTTTCAATTAAACATATGTCGAAAAAAAAAGAATTTTTTCATAAAATTTCTAGAATATCTATAGGTAGCTGTCTTTTAAAATGTGTTATTATTATTATTATTATTAATACTGTTATTTTTGAAAATTTTACATTTTAAATTAATAATATATCGAAAAAAAGAAGAATGATGTTCAGTAAACTTCTTCTCAAATATCTATAGATAATGATCGCTTAATTCAAGGTATATTTTCTTACATTTTTCAATATTATAATCACTGTACTGGTTTTGTCATTTATTGTCATTATGTCATTTATTAATGTTTTATATTCTGATTTATAAATATGAGGAAAAAACGCAGAATCTTTATCATCAAGCTTCTTGAAATGTAGGCAAGTCGGGATCTTCAGTGTTTCACTTCATTCAGGGTGTATTTTCTTAAATTTTTTCAATATTATTATCACTGTACTGATTTTGTATGTCATTTATTAATGTTTTATATTCCGATTTAAAAATATGACGAAAAAATGAAGAATTTTTTCATAAAACTTCTTAAAATGTAGACAAGTCGGGAACATCAGTATTTCACTTCAGACAAGGTGTATTTTCTTAAATTTTCAACATTATTCCTTTCACTAGTTTCGTGGTCCGCTTGACCAATTAATATCTTACAATTAATTAAGGTTTTCAGTTGAGATAAAATGGCAAAAAGGAGGGAAAATTCAAAAGGTGTGGTTGAGATGGGAAGTTGGTGTCCGAATAGATCGAAGTTACGATAGCTTAAGTGGTAGAGCAGCGGCGTCTCAAGCCGAAGATCGTGGGTTCGAATCCCGCTCGTGCCATTAACTTTTTTATCTCAACTGAAAACCTTAATTAATTGTAAGATTATTATTACTGTACTGATTTTGTATGTCATTTAATAATGTTTTATATGCCGATTTAAAAATCTGACGAAAAAACGAAGAATGTTTTTCATAAAATTTCTTGAAATGTAGACAGGTCGTGATCTTCAGTGTTTGACACTTCATTCAAGGGTTTTTTTGTTAAATTATTTAGTTCTATTAATACTGTATGAATTTTGTATGTCATTTATTAATGTTTTATATTCTGAATTAATAATATCACGAAAAAAAGAACGTTTTTCTTAAAACTTCTTGAAATGTGACAGGTCGTGATCTTCTGTGTTTGACACTTCATTCAAGGTTTTTTTTCTTAAATTATTTAGTTCTATTAATACTGTATTAATTTTGTATGTCATTTATTAATGTTTTATATTCTGAGTTAACAATATCACGAAAAAAAATGTTTTTCTTAGAACTTCGTGAAATGTGGACAGGTCGTGATCTTCAGTGTTTGACACTTTTCATTGAAGCTGACTTTCTTAAAATATTTAGAACTATTAATACTTTATCAGTGTTGTATGTCATTTTTTAAAATATTTTACGTTTTGAATCAATAATATGTAAAAAAAAGAAGACTTTCGTTTCTTGAAACTACTTTAAAAGTCGACAGTTGTGGTCCAGTGTTTTCCGCGTCTTTTCGGTTATATTTTTGTATTATTATTATTATTATTGTTATGATTTGACGTAAATCGCTGCTCGAATGTTTCGCCTTTTTTTAAATCAATACTCTATCGAAAATTGCTCATGTCCGTCCATTCGGCGCGTGCCTGCTGTAAATCGCTTCCTCGTAGTTTTCATTATCTGGCTGACCTTTAGATCGATTTTCTTTTTTATTGGGCAACTAATTAATTATTACAGCAATATTTTTATCCGAGAAAGAAAAATGTTCCAAAGGGCAGGATGCCGAATCATTTATTTTTTTGTAATTTTGTTATGAAACTATTTGATTAATTTGAATGCCTTAATCTTCCATAACCGAAGAACATACAATTAAGAGTCTCAAAGACTCAATATTCAAAATTGGTGAAAATATTTTTAAACTTAATATAAAGCCGATTCGGAGAAAATAAATAATAAATGCAATTAAATTTTATTGGGATGTGGAGCGATGTACAATAAATCTGGGCTATCTAATCTAAATCAATATCGTCAAGTTTTGTTTTTGACAACATTTAAACAACCATGTCTGAAAGTGTATACAGGCAAATTAGTATTACTAAAAATGTCAACTTTATTGTGTAATTAAATAGTAATATATATGGGTTATCTGTTATTTTAGATTTAGTAGATTATTTCAAATCCGAATTATTCTATCATATGGCAACGATTCAAATACACATAGTCGAGCCTAGATTTTATTTTTCAACGTGAAAAAATTGTACTGTAAGAAAAATTGGTTTTGCAGGAAGAGTACCGAGAGTCAAGTCCCTTTGTCTACTTCATCCCGGGGCCAGAGGCGAGACTTGACTTCGCCTTACAGCCTGCCGGGCATTGTCACAGTTGAATCATTCGAGGCGTAAAGAAAAAAATAAAAGTCTTTACCTTGAGTCCCGACTAGAATAAGAGGTATTTCAGCTGAGTTGCGATAATGTGCCATCTGAGTGTAATACGTGTAGATGGCGTTAAAGCTCGCCTCGTTCTCCAAAGAGAACACGAATATCACAGCATCGACCCAGGCAGTGAACTGAAACAAGAAAAAACAGACTGTGCTTATTATTCACAATTTAACAAAACAAGAAATAATTAGGACCTTGATTAAACATTCATTTTCTTAAAAGGATTATTCATACCCAGGGTGGAGCTACACGAAACCTCTAAATTAAAAATTAACAACAGCAGAGACAGCCGTGTATTCTAATCATATGGATATAATTTAATCTGAGTTTTGTCTCTAATTAAAGACATTTTTTAAATCCGACCAGGAAATTTAGGAAAATAACACCTACAATAGAAATAGTTTTGTAGGGTTTAACTATAGATAGTGATATCGAAACATAATTTAAAATCAATAATCCAGTAAAAAAAAATTAGTATGGAAAAAGTATTGGGATTAATCCCCGTACTCCACATGGTAACGAGGACAGCACAAAAAATTATTATTAGTATTTATTTATTAGGTTTCGTGGTCCGATTGACCAAATAAATTCTTTTCAATTAATTTTAAGGCTTTGGTTGAGATAAAAAAGTCACTGTCTAGAGCGGGATTCGAACTCACGACATTCGGCTAAATACGCCGCTGCTCTACCACTTGAGCTATCGTGACGTCGATCTATTCGGACACTAACTTCCCCATCTCAACCGTTTGAATTTTCTCTCCTTTTTGCCATTATTAGTATTATCAAAGAGAAACCTCCAACAGGAATAAAACTAAAATGGAGAGATAGCAACAACATAATGAAAGAACATCCCATATGGCTCCAAGAGACGACATGAACAGGATGTTTGAATTTAATCGAAACTTCCAAATAAATCTAGGTACCAAAAAACAATGGGAACGAGAGGGAAACACCTTTAAGAATGGCATCATATTTTGGTACACAAATGGATCTAGAACACAAGAAGGTATAGGGGCGGGAGTGTCCTGGAACCAAACACTCAGAACCCATGGGAAAATACACCATTCTTCCAAACTGAAGTACACGCAATCGACAGATGTACTAAACTCAACCTGAACATAGCTATCATGTCAGATAGCCAAGCAGCCATCAAAGCACTAAGCTCAAATATCATTAGTTCAAAGGTGGTGTTGAACTGCAAAACCAAATTGAACTTATGTACGCAGAACAAAGTCAGCCTCTGCTGGGTCCAAGGACACATAGGAGTAGAAGGCAACGAGAAAGCGGACACCCTTGCAAGCCAAGGAGCTGCTACACCGCTGACAAGACCCGAGCCCTTCTGTGGCATAGGAACCCACATTATTGAGTATCTCAGGCAGACGGACAAAAGAAAATGAAGGAACAATGGAATTCACTCGTTGGACACAGGCAATCCAAGAATCTCCTAAAAAATTTCGGAAGAAAAGAAATTACAGAATGTGTCAAAGGAAGAAGGAATAAACTGCGAATCCTAACAGTATTCTTAACAGGACACTGCAAGCTAAATGGACACTTAAAGAAGATTGGAGTAATCCAAGAAGGCACATGCCGATTCTGAAAACAGGCAGAGGAGACACCAACACACCTATTAGCAAACTGTGGTGCTACACTTGCCTGCAGGAAGTAAGTGCTTTGGGATGTACAACGTGACCATAGAAGAGATTCAACCATTGAAACCGGGACTACTAATCAAGTTTCTTGACGAATAGTTCCTCACCAATGTGCTTTTGGCAGAGAACGGGAGATGATACAGTAGCTCTTAAAGGGCGCAGTATACTATACCCCGACTATTACATCTACCTCTAGTCCATATCGTAGTTTTCCTTATGAGTAAATACCTTAAATAATAACGAAGTTGGCCATTAATTAAAAGAGAACCGAAGTGTGCAAAGGTGAATGTAAAACTTGTACGGCTAAAGAAAAAATCCGTATAATTTCCTGATTGGAAAACGGTTAAAATGGAGAATTGGTGAAGGAACTAGAGGTTAGCCATGCGACTATTTTACAGATAAAAAAAGAAAAAAATATATACAGCGTAACTGGCGATAAGTGTCGAAAATTTCAGGATATGTTTCTACTCACAATATGCAGAAAAAAAACTTCCTATTAACTCCTGTCCAAATCTCAACGAAAAAAGAAGTAATTTCAGGTTTTGGGTGTTTTTATTTTTCGACTTAGGTCCACTAAATTGCTTATAAACATCAGAATTATCGTCTCTAGAAAAATATGTTTGTGCCAGCCGAAAGAACGTTAAATTTGCTGCAAGAAAACTTATTTACATTGCAGAATTGATGGAAAAGTACTGCACGAAAAATTCCTAAAAAACACAAATGTTGAAATTTGGAATTTTTTGAAAATGTTGGATTGTTAACTGTTCATAAATTCAAACTCCTGGAGCTTTGCGCATTCCCTCAAAAATTCCCTATTACTTTAGCAAAACAGCACTTGAACGTAAGTAATTATTTAATTAATGATATGTTTTTTCTAAGGTCTTGGCTGAGGTGAAAAAGTTAGTGTCAGAAGCGGGATTCGAACCCACGACCTTCGGCTAAATTCGCCGCTGCTCTAACCACTCGAGCTATCGTGACTTCGATCCACTCGGACACCAACCCCTCATCAAACCTATTTCGAATTTTCCCACGTTTTGGACAGCGTGAGATGCAGTCTGGTGTGATATAGGTCCAGAAAAACATTTTCTTTATCGTGCTAACGTTTCGATCTTTATTGAGATCATCTTCAGGGCCTGGGATTTATAACCATTGTTTAAATTATACAAATACATGTAGGATGTGAAAAAATGAATTTCTATCATTGTATAAATTAATTTTTCACATCCTACATGTATTCGTATAATTTGAACAATGTTTATAAATCCCGGGTCCTGAAGATGATCTCAATGAAGATCGAAACGTTGGCCCGATAAAGAAAATGTCTTTCTAAACCTACGTTACACCAGACCGCATCTCACGATCTCCAAATAATCATTAATTACGGTCACTAAACACCACACATTTATTTGTTACATTTTGAGAAATTGTTTATATATTATATTGATTTTTTCTCTATAGCTGATTTAATATAGGATTCAATGGCTCTTATATATATTATATACATATTATGCGTGCCAACGTCCGCAGACAGATGATATCTCAAAATGTATATGCTTTTTGCACGGTTCATGTTTTTGAGGAAAAGAAACAAAAAGCATTTCTATTCTATTCCACTGAACAATTAGAAAATGCCAATCTTCTAAAATGTAGAACAAGAAATTTTGAGCTTTTAATAATATAGCGTTCTAGTGCGGCTTTATATGCATAGTCAATTCAGGGGGTTTTCGATTCCAAGCGTTTAAATCCCGGAGATGAAACTCATCCTGTGTAATTGTTGACTACTCCTGTTCCATTAATGTATAATTTGAAAACACTCTTGTAAACCAAACAATTGCCAAATAAAGCATGAGTTTCGAAAGCATAGATCAAGAGAACAAAAAATGCATTCCAAATCACATAGCCGGACTTTGATGATTAAACGAATTTCAATCGGACAATTATGATCGACGACGAAAGAGTTATGAACCAATAAAGGACGTACTTCTGTAAACGATCATTGGTGCCATGAGTTTTGGTACAGTTGGAAAAAAAATTTCTGCTAGCAAAGCTGAAAATTTCCACGTCCTGGGCTCTCCCAGAGGGTATAAAACGATATGATTTAGTGATAGACGCTTGGGGAGACATCGGCACTGGCGCTGATACCCCCTCGGGGTGCCCTAAGGGGACTCTCATGCGTCCTGACACTATGTTATACACGACCCGGCAGCATAAACCCGGCCGTGGCATAATTCAAACCAGAAACGGCTGTTTTGGAAGCAGATTCCGCTAAAATATGCGATTTTGTTCGGCGCCATCCGCATTTCCATCCCTCTTAATCCAATCAATAACAAAGGCAACAATCCGATGACGCCGTGAATCTTCGTTATCGTATTAAATTAAAGGGAATAATGGAAATGTGTTTTTTCCTCGACTTACGAAAGGACTTATGTACGTTTTGCCAGGAAACAAGTATGCCACTCTTCTTCCTACCGATGCAGCTAAGCGCCTAGATTTTGGAGACTGGTCTGATACATATAAAGTTCACGTTTTTGGACAGATTGCGATCAGCCTGTGAAGAAATATGCGGCAGATAAAAATACATCATTAATCGTGAAAGTCTGTCGTGTGATGAAGTGATGATTTAAGTCTCCATTTTAAGCGACACGAACTTCAATGGTGTGCAGAAAAATAACAGAAAAAAACTGGGGGCGCAGACCAGAAAACCTGCTCTGGTTGTACACCATGATGGTGACACAAACGCCGATGCGTTTGCATAACGGATGCGATGACATCTACCACAGCTGGTATGGAGAAAATATCGAGATTAACCTCCTCCACAACATGATAATGAGTCGAGCAGAGAAAACTATCACCAACATCATCCAAAAGAAACCTCCAATAGGACCGCAACTAAGCTGGATGGATAGCAACAGCCTAATGTAAAAGGTACATCCGACGATACTCAAGGCTCCAACAGACATGAACAGGATGTTCGAATTCAGACAAACTTAAGTACTAAAAAAGAATGGGAAAGAGGGAGAAACCCCTCCGATAAGAATGGCACCATCTGATGGTACGCTGACGCATCTTGAACACAAGAAGATACGGGGCAGGAGAATTCCAACTCAAAACCCTGGGAAAATACGCCATTATCTTCCAGGCTGAAGTTTGGAGAAAGAATTGAGAGATGTATCCAATTCAATCTTACAAAGGGCTCAAAAACACTTTTACTTCCATAAAAAGCCGGTTTATTTATGTGAAATAATTTTGTTATTTTGTGTATTTTCTTGTAGAAATATTTCATATAATTTTATGGTACATAAGTCGTTAAAAAGCTACTATCTTCCTCTGCTTTCAAATGGGCTATTATAGCCGTTTCAATCAGATCTTCCGATAACGGCTTCTCAAAAATCTGAAAAAATTTATGAGACGAAAAATCGATAAATTTAAATCCAAAGAAAAATTTATATTTAGGGATCTCTAGAGGCGCTAAAACGAAA